ATGGATTGGAAGAATTAACATTATCGAAATGGCCATCCTACCAAAAGCAATATACAGATTCAATGCTATTTCAATAAAAATTTCAATGACATTCTTCAAAGAAATAGAACAATATTTGGTGAAATTCATATGGAGCCACCAAAAACCCTGAATAGCCAAAGCCCTCCTGAGAAAAAAAGGGAATGGAGGCATCACTCTCCCAGATTTCAAACTATACTACTAAGCCATAATAATAAAAACTGCATGGTATTGAAACAAGAACAGAAACACGGACCAATGGAATTGAACAGAAAACCCAGAAATAGACCCACAAATTTGCAGTTAATTAATCCTTGACAAAGAAAGAAAGAATATACAACGGAGCAAAGTTAAGTTTGTTCAATAAATGGTGCTGGGAAAACTGGGTCGCTACATGCAAAATAATAAAGCTTGACTACTACCTCATACCATGCACAAAAACCAACTCAAAATGGAGTAAAGAAATAGACATAAGACTAGAAAACCATAAAATACATAGAAAGAAATATAGGCAAAACACTACATACCATGCACCTCAAAGACATCTTTACAGACACATCACCCAAAGCAGTGATAGTGAAGGCAAAGATAAACAGCTGAGACTACATCCAATTAAAGAGCTTCTGCACAGCAAAAGAGACAATAACCGAAACAAAGAGAAACCCCACCGACTGGGAGAACATTTTTGCACACAACACTAATGATAAAGGACTGATCACAAAAATCTACAAGAGCTGAGGAGACTCAACGAAAAAGAAGAAAATAATACAGTCAAAAAATGGGTAGAAGAGCTAAAAGGAAACATCTCCAAAGAGGAAATGCAAATGGCCAACAGGCATATGAAAAAATGTTCAACATCACTTGCAATCAGGGAAATGCAAACCAAAACTACAATGAGATACCATCTTACAGCAAAAGAAAAGAAATGGAAAAAGAAACTCTCCTGCATTGCTGGTAGGAGTGCAAACTGGTCCAACCATTATGGAAAAGCTGTGTGAAGATTCCTCAACCTACTAAATATAGAGCTTCCGTATGAGCCAGCAATTCCAATACTATTTACCCAAATGACAAAGAAACATTAATTCAAAAGGGCACCTGTACCCCTATGTTTATAGCAGCACTATTTACAATAGCTAAGCTATGGAAACAACCCAAATGCCCAAAAATAGATGACTGGTTCAAGAAGATGTGGTATACACACACAATGGAATATTACTCAGCAATCGAAACAGATAAACTCATGCAATTTGCAGCAACATGGATGGAGCTGGAAGGGATCATGCTCAGCAAAATAAGCCAGAAAGAAAAAGAAAAATAGTGGATGGTCTCACTCATAGCAGGAATTTAGAAAACCTAAATAAGGGACCAGGAACAAGACTAATAAAATACAGAAAAAATCAAAATCAACAAGCAATTATAAACCAAAGACACACTACGGGGTGGCAGGGAGAGAAAGGATTAGGGTCAAAATCAGGGGGGTGCAAATGTACTGGAAATATAACCAAAATGAAAATGTATACATTGTGCAAAAATGAAAAATGATGTAAGAATTATATAAAATACCAAAAAACCCCAAACATTTTGATCCTTGCAAAGTAAAAGAATGGTCTAGTCATGATGTCCCTGGCTTTGCTACTAAAGGATGTTTACCTGAGAGTCAACCTCCAAATTTTAGCCCTTTTTGTCATTTGTATAGGCTGAGAATTTCCCTTCTGTTCATTAGTTTTTACCTCTATGTCTTTCCTCTCAGACTGTATACAAACAGCAAGAGGAAACCCTCAAAACACTCTGAAGAAGTATCCCCAGTAAATGCACAGGTTTACTGCCTACTATTTTCTACTACTTTCCACTGATCTGGAAAAGTAGTAAGTTTTCTTCCACTAGGAATCAAGGACAAGAACGTATTTACTGAACGTTAACATGAGACTCTAGACAAGACTGCACATGTTCTGATTACAAATGTTTCTCTAAATCCCTAAGATTCAGATCGACCCCATTTTAAAAAGTAAATAAACCTGTTTTGAGAAATTTACTTTTAACTACGTAAGTCCTGTCATAAAATTAAAGTTAGTAAAAAGTTTGTGGACTGAGAGGAACCAGAAATCATTTGTATTTCATAATCAGTTTAGAGATACCTAATATTTTAATAAGAAATGCCTTCTGCAATGTTTAACTAAGAGAAATATTAAAATATATCTTAGTTCCTTCATTGTCTTACTAGCAGATGACGGACTCCAGTGGATGTACAGAACGCAGGCCATTTAGAAGCTGGTTAATCCTTACCTGGAAATTCACTGAGCTAATCTATTATTATCCGATATGCTATTTAACAAGAATTTTTCCTTCCCACAGATAAAAGAATTCACAAATATAATTCAGCGTATGTTTACCTGCCTCATCTCCAACAAAAATATATACTAATCATTCCCTCATGTAGTACAACTGGAAATCCCATCATTAATTCAAGTTCCAGCCATTGTAATGGTTTATATATTAAAATAGTTTCAACTGTCTCTCAAACTATATGTGGAAGCCTATAGATGATATGCAGATCTTGTTTCTGTTCCAAGAGAAGTAACAGTCTGACTTTTAATAGAAAATGCTCAAACTGAAGAGCTAGTTTTCAAAGAGACACTATCCTAAAGATGGTTCCATGAAGAGTGTGACTAGCCAAACATGGGGCAAGGTTAGTAATGTGATTATTCTAGATTTACTTGTATGCTATTATTGTACCATACTGGATAATCTTTGCCTACAGAAAGTTTGGTCCTTGGGAGATAATTTGTGAACCCTTAGGAATCCACGCAGCATAAGAACCTGAGTACTTGTGGTTCACGACACACGTTAGGTAGCAATGTGATTTATGCCAAGGATTCTGAATCAAGCAATGACAGTGTAATCTCCAGAGGGACTGGACGCTAAGATCAGTCACCTGGTAAGTAATCCAAGTGCATCAAAACCCTAACACCAATAAAGCCCATAGACACCAAGACCTGCGTGAGCTGCCCTGATTGGCATTAGTGTCACACATCACTGCTAACAGAATTGAAATTTTTCTACAGAAGAACCTTAGGAAAGGACATATGGAAGTTAATGTTCTTAGACTCTTGACCTCTTGTCCTCTCCCTTTTGCTGATTTTAATCTACATCTTTTCTAGGGTAAGTAATAAACCTGCTTTAACAACTTCACTGAATTCTTCTAGCAAATCAGTGAACCTGAGGAGAATTTTGGTGATCTCTTGAACTGTATTTGAGATCCAGGAAAAAACTTATTACAGGGGCCTCCCGGTGGTGCAGGGGTTAAAGACAGTGCTATCAAGCTATTGCCAGCCACTGCAGCACAAGCTTGATTCCCAGCCAGCCAGGGAGACGACCCACGTGGCGCAGCAGACCTCTTCTGTCTTACCCACTACTCCCCTCAGCAGTGTATTTCAGTAGATCCACCTGTTCCGCTCCCATTCAACCTCTGGTGAATCCTTTCATCCTCTCCCCCACACCTCTGGCATATATCCCAGTTCTTGTATGAATAAATATTAAAAAAAAAACTTATTACAGTTGATTAAAATGTGTTAAATGAATGCTTTATTTTTTTAATTTATTTATTTATGGATACAAGAACTAGGGTTCAGGCCAGAGGTACTGAAGGGGGGTGAGAGGAGAGAGAGTAGGGAACAGATTAGGGAACAGACTAGGGAACAGAACAGGGAGACTGACTGAAATGCACTACTGAGAGGAACAGCAGGCAAGACAAGAGGTCTGCTACACATTGTAGGTAGTGTCCTGGCTAGCTGGGGATGGAACTCATGCAGCAGAGGCTATGGACAGCTTCACAGTGCTGTGCTTAACCTCCTGCGCCACCAGGAAGGCGCACAATGCTTTATTTTGATTCCTTTTCATTTTGATTTTAAATGTCTAAAGATTCTTTTAGATGACAAGAGTGCAAGTCCTTCAAACAGAAAATAAAACTCAATGTATGTTCTCCAGTTCTCTTGTCACAGAAGTTGTTACAGTTTAGTTTATGCGTTTTATATTTAGGAGATACTTACAGTGAATAGGTAAGAAAAAATACAAACAAAAACTGTACATAAGTGTAAAACTAAAATTACAGTAACATTTTGGATTAGCAGATGAAAAGTCCTCACACAACAATGAAATTACCTTAATTAATGAGGAGATCCCTGCTTCCTCATCCACAGGGCTAGACCACCAACTGTTACAAAATTTCTCATAAATGGTGCTGCTGCTATTTCTCTACTACTATATCTATTCTTTTCATCCTCCTGCTATAAAGATTTCCAACACCCAATTTCATACCTAAAATATGATTCGAATTTTCAAAAGAAAAGTGTAATCTGCTCTCTTCAGTTTGAAGAACATTCATAACTCTCCAAAACTTGCTTAGTTAGCTAAGCCACAACAGATTGCTCTTGTTTCTCTGTCTAAAACTGTGGCCAGAAGGTATTAAGCAAGGACTCTAGTTCTTTCAGTGATTTGCTTCTCTTCAATTTCAGTTTTTTGTTTATTTTCCACTTCCTTAATAAGGCTTTCCAAAGGAACACTCACCCTCTACCATACCCACTTTTGCATGCCACAAGGAAGAAAAGCTCAATACATATTTCCTAAAGAAATAGTGGCCTTATGTAAAGAAAATGTAAAATGGCATGAAGCATTATCTGTGATTGAAAAACACTGTGGTATAATAGAAAATTCAGAAAACACACAAAAAATGGATTAACCCCATTTACACAGCCAACAAAAAGATCTGCCTTCATTACCATTTTAAGGCATATATGTAAACCTCATGTTCTATTGTTAACACGATGAAGGACGGATATTTTAGACGACACAAATGCTTTTGCAAGTAAGTTTTTATATTACATTTTACATATCATTTTAAAGGAATAGCTATCACATGGAATACTGAATTTTATTATAAATTTCCCTAAAATATTATTTGCTGAACATATCTCGTCCCTGATTACCTTTCTGAAGAACTTTTGATAAATGTTCACCTAGAAGCTGCTTTTCTACAATAGCAATTAGTAGCTTCCTGTTGGAAAAAAATAAGTTTAAATTACTGAAAATTTTTCACACTGACTTAAAAACACTTTCAAAGTGCTAATACTCAGTGCACATATAACACTTAAGCTTGAAATAGATAGCAGCACCAGAAAATTTCTAGTTTGGTCTTCAGGAAGTACAAATCCTATTACTTGCACTTCTCCTAATTTCAGTGATAAGGTTGTAAATAAGTTTCTTAGCTGCAGAATACTTGGTTATAACATATCTAATTTATATAATTCAATTTATATTAAGAAATTATCTAAATTTATTTTCTTACTTGGTTCATTAAAGAAAAAAAAAACAACTGAAATATATACACAGGAAGAAATCTCTATTTACCAAGCATTCCTTTGATGAAATTGAATAATGAAGAAACAGGGGAGAAAAGCAAAAGAAAAAAAAATACAGCCTCATTCTGTCACATGAACAAGTACTGTTCTATTTAAATAAAAGAGAATGCAAAATATAAGTAAAAATGTAATTCTTACTGTGTGTTCATGTGTAGGTAGGTTCTAACTCTATTTAACTCTTCTTCTAGTAGTTTCTTGATGTGGTAAAGACATTCAAGAATCTGGAAAAAAATTCAATCTTTTTTATTTTTAAAGAATCAGAGGACTTTCATGAAAACTTAAAGGAAGCAAACACATTCCTCTATTAAGTCTCATATTAAATGTATAAATCTATCGGGGGGTGTGTGTGTGTATATATATATATATGTATGTGTGTGTGACATGTGTGATAAACAACACATATAATTCATAGGATACCCATATAGAAAACCACCAAAGAAAGTAAAAAGGTCTTGACCACACTGATGTTTAAAAGTACAGGTATACACAAAACGCTTCACCCCACACGATGGAATCTACCTTCTTCTCCAAGGTATATGCAACATTCTGCAGAATGAGCATCAGGCTACAAAACAAGTCTGTAAGTTATAAAGGATGGAAAACCTCAAAATATGTTCTTTAAGTATAATGCAGTAAAAGTGGTGGGGAGAGAAGGCAAACTCATTTAAGTATGAAAAAATTAAACATATTTCTAAATAGCAAATGTATCAAAGATATCACCAAAAAATTATGAAGTATTTTAATACAAATGAAAAAGGAGACACATCATACAAAAATTTATGCAATAAAATATTATATACATAAATGGACATTTATAACTAATTACAATTCAAAAAATAACATTCTCACAATAATAATATAATCTTCCATGTAAAGGCACTGAAAAGAACAAACTAAAGTTCAAAGGGTAATATTTAGCATGGAATTTAATAAAACAGAGATGAAAAAATCAATAGGAAAAAAACAACACCACCAAGAGTAGGTTATTTGTAAAGATCCACAAAACTGACATACCTTTAGCAAAAGTTACCCAAGAAAAAAAGGAGATTTAAATAGCATAAGCATAAAAATTATCAGAGAAGCATGCAGGAAATACAAATAGACAAGGTTTTCAACAGAAATTTAATGCTTTTCCCCATGCATTATGAATAAATTTTTAAATGTTATTTTGGTTACAAATACCTCTCTATTTTGCACCAGCTTCCTTCCTTCTGTTGCATAGAATCTGCTTGTTTCCTCTAAAAACTTATTCTCAAAAGATTCTTGATAAATCTAGAATAATATGGAAGACTATTTAACATTTATTTAAAATATTAGATTACGAATTAGCTTTAATTTAACAAGTCAGAAATTACTCACCTGCAAATCAGAAAGCATAACTAAAAGCCTTTTGATTAAGCCTCGATCAATCATTTCACCATTTCTTTCCTTTTCAATCAACAAAAGTATTCCATTTACAGTTTTGCTATGAACACTCTGTTCACAAATTATATGTGATTTAAATAATTCAAGTCCCATATCCCTAAAATTAAAAAAAATTGTCTTATATCCTTATATACGTTAGTCTATTTATCCATCAATTATACTCTTCTGCATAAGTACAGGTAAATGCACATTCAAAATAAAAATACAATTTGAAGTCAAGCATTCTATTAAAAATTTCCCACCTTTTTAAATCTCAAATCAACCTACAGAGTTTGGAAATAATAAATATTAGATAAGAGTCACAGTTTAGTAATATATCTAGGTGAAACAATATTCAGAATAACTCTAAAGCCTCTTAGTGCTTCTTATTTTAGACTTCAGAGTACAGCCTTAATAAGTACAATTTTATAATATCATCTTAGAGACCTACTAGGTTTCTTCTCCTAATAATAAAGAATGTGAAAGTAACTTGTCCTATTATGTATCCTATTACTAGTAAGACCCTAAGCCAGCTTATAAAACTGAGACAAAAGTATAGTTTATCACTGCAAGTTTTGTGATCACATGTTCAAAAATAAAACACACTTTTAGAGATAGATATTGAAAATTATTTTTTTCTTACTGTATATTAGAACAGATAAAAGATCTGGTTATAAGTTGTATGTAACAATCCTTTCAAAGTAATTATTGGCATCCTTACCAAATGGAAGACAACATCGAAAACTGAAAAATGTAAGTTCTATCTAGGAACAGAAAAATGTTCCTAATCATGATCTGTCAGAAATAAAAACACATGGAATATTATGGATAAAATTTATTTTGATTAAATTATCATTCCTAATGACCTAAAGAAACTTTACTCTTTAGAAAAACAAAAACAATTATTTTTGGCATTTTGTCACATATTTCCATCAACCTGAAAAATTAAACATTTCAAAATCTATTGGAAAGACAAACCTCCAAATTTTCACTCATTTTCTATACCCTGAATTCCTTCTTATATAATAATGATTTGTGGAAAGACAGGAAGACACTTCATTCATATAAGGAGTATGCTTAAAATAAAAACTTAATTTTTTAAAAGATTTATTTAATTATGCATACAAGAACTGGGGTAGAGGTCAGAGGCGGGGTTGTGGGGAAGTGAGAAGATTCACTAGAGACAGAGTGGGTAGCAAAACAGGTGGATCTTCTGAAATACACTGCTGAGGGGAGCAGCGGGTAAGACAGGAAAGGTCTGCTGCACCATGTAGGTCATCTTCCTTGCTGGGTACAAATTCGTGCTGCAGTGGATTTGTAGTGGTGCATCTGAACCCCTTGAGCCACCAGGGAGGACCCGCAAAAAATCCCTGCTGATTTATTGACATAAGAAGTGCTAAGGATACTCTGCCTAATGTCTGATAAAAGTGAGGCTGAAAACAAGAACACTAAGGTGACACAGTAAAATAAGATATCCACAGTAAAAAATGTTGTAAAGTAGTATAAAATATAAACTAATGCCATGACTTTACATGCCATGTTTTCTGTTTGAAAACATAATATATCAAGAGATAATTATTTATTATGAATTTGCTGCTTTTGTATGTTAATTGCATTTGAGCACATACTGGAAAGGTAGTTCTCAAACATTCTTGTTTTAACTCCCTTTATTCTTTTAAAAATTACTGATAAAACCAAAGAACAATTTTCTTAATGTTGAGTCTATCTACTGACATTTATGTTATCAAAAAATTAAACTGATTTAATTTTTTAAAGATTTATTTATTTATTTATACAAGCACTGGGTACAGTCAGAGCGCGGGAGGATGAGAGAATTCACCAGAGCCAGAGCGGGGAGCAGAAAGGCAGACTGACGAAGTACACTGCAAGGGGAGCAGCGGGCAGCAGGACAGGTCTGCGCACCATGTGGGACCCTCGCAGGTGGCCAGGGATGGAACTGGCGCTGCAGAGGTGCAGGCAGGTTTGCAGCCCAGCCTCAAGCACTGTGACGAGGGGAGGCCCTAAACTGATTTAAATTTTAAAGTAAGTAGTAACATTGACTATATGCGTACAGAATTTTAAATATAAGTTTACCGACACAAATATAGTATGTAATTTTATATCCCTAGTGAAGAATACTAGGATATATTTCAGAGTTGCTAAAAGAGTGAATCTTAAATAGCCTCACCACAAAAAAGAGAATATTATTGTGTGCGGTGACGGAGGTTCTAGCTACTGCGGTAAACATTTTGCAACTTGTAAACATATGAAATTTTTCTGTTCCTCTACTTTAAACTTATACAGCATAAGTTTAATATTTGTAATTATATATCAAAAACATGTTAAGAATTCCTAATCTGGGCCTCCCCGGTGGCGCAGCGGTTGAGCGCTGGGTTGCGAAGCTGCCCGCAGCCTCTGCAGTGCCAGTTCGATCCCCGGCTGCTCCCCGGCCACCGGAGGAGGGTCCCACTCCCCTCAGCAGTGTACTTCGGTCCTTCTGCCTGCTCTGCTCCCCGCTCTGGCTCTGGTGAATTCTCTCACACTCCCGCGCTTCTGACTGTACCCAGTGCTTGTATAAATAAATAAATAAAAATAAATCTTTAAAAAAAAAAGAATTCCTAATCTAAGCAAGGAAGCAAAGAATAATTTATAGCACTTTTAAATGCTATAGGAGAGGCAGTTTGAACAGGAAGGGGAAGCCAAGAGAGAGATAAGGAAACCAGAGTAGAATAGGGTGAAGGTGAGAGCCTAGGATTGAGAGAGAAAATTATGACTTTGTACTACACCTCAAACACCAAACTGTGCTCAGTAAGAGAGTTTTCCAGTATGGCTGGCTGATTAAATTTTGCAAAAAGGAAATGAATATATATGAGATTCAGAATGTATGTGAGAGTGAGGGAATACACCAATGCATTATACATCATGTTTGTCCTTTAAAAAGAACCAAAGCCAGAGATTTTAAGTGTTTCCACAAATTTACTGTAGATGATGTGAGTGATTATTTTTTAATTCTAAAACGTTTGTGCAACAGTGGTAACAAAATATTATTTTCATGCTGTATTAGGCTACAACTGAAAAGAAGGCACAATTTGTGTCATACTGTCATATTCAAAATACAAATATGCCCTGTGTTGGGAAAGTTGCAACAACTTTATCTAATTTAGTAGAGAAACATTTGTATGGCTCTAATTAATGGCAGCATATTCTCTATATCCAAACTTCAGAAGATAAATTACTAATTATATGTATACACATATATACATGAAGAGAACTAGCTATAACTCAAAAATAATGTCTAGACATAAACTAATTTGACATCCATCTGTTCCTCCTTAAGCAAAAATTAACTGTTTAACAAGTATGATTTTCTGTGTCAAAAAAATGTTTCCAACTAAAAAAGGAGTGAAATAAAAATTCTAAATTTTAAAGTACTAACAATGACCTATACATAAAAATGCATTTCCAAAGTTTAAGTTTATAGATACAGTATGAGTTAACTCATACTTGTAACAGAATCATTTAAGATATTCCATCATAATTTAAACTGAAAATAAAATATTAAAACGCTACCATTTGTCTGCCATGGTCTTGCCAGCATTTATCCATTTTCTTCAGAAAAGGGCCATTATCCATAGAATCCATGAGGCAGTGTTAAAAAAAAAAAGTTTATTGCTCTACAAGTATCACACATTCTGGAAAATATTCTAAAAGACTGTATTTGGTAAAATGTAGCTATAACCAAACATGATGCTTAGACAATCAGAAATACAAGCCTGAGTTAACTTACCCCATGTAGCAAAAAAAAAATTTCACTCAGGATATGACATGGAAACTTTTTTTTGTTTTTGTTTTTGTTTTTGCTGGAGCAGGAAAAACAATTTAAGGGGGGGGGATTACTTTACATCAAACCCATTAAGCATCTTTAGATTCCAAAAAGAAAGCGATGTCTGAAATATCCAAACTTCTTTCTCTTTTACCATGGATATGTAGAAACTACAAAATATACATTATTAAAGACAGACAAACAGGAAAAGATGTTAAAGCCTATGGTTTCATAAAAGGATACTCGCTGAACTGTTGGATTTGTGCTTTGATGTGCTTTTCACAAATTTGCCTCAATCGTTCATACAGGTTTGCAGATAAGTTGTAAGAGCACAGGTTTTCAACACTCTGAAAATTAAAAAAAATGCTATTCAAAAATATAGTACATTATAAAACAAAAACTTTATTATTTTCCCATGTTTATTAGTAATGCTGTACTATTAATGATTCATATGAATTGATACATGAATAGAAATATCATCAATACATGAATATGATTACTAAATGGTAAGAGTTATTGGGAAATTTAATTGCAATATGTAAAAACCAAAGAAAATATACTGAAATCATTCCATCCACAATTTGAACAAAGCCATCTTTACTAATTTGTGAAGTATCCAAATTACTTTCTTTTCAATTTGCAATTTAATGTTTATTGAATTACCCCTGGTTTACAAAATTATGTATATTTTAAAAACAATAGCCTCTAAAATTATATACTTAGACTTTGAAATTTTAAAAGCTAAACATTTTAATGTAATATATACAACAAATACAACCATATGTGATTTTAGTAAATGTTGCTTAAAGTGCTTGAAGTAAACAGTGAAATAATTTTGTTAATCTTAAAATATGTCCCATTTAGAATGATGTCATCAAAACTGGTAGAGATGGTCAAAACTGCCTTCCTCCACTAAATAATCAATTAGGACTGGCAAGATCCTGTCAGAACCATTATTTTTTTAAAAGATTTATTTATGTATATGAGAATGGGTGTATAAGCCAGATGTGCAGGGGAGCAGTAGGGTGAGCAGATTCACTAGAGACAGGGTGGGAAACAGAACTGGCCAACTGACTGAAATACACTGCTGATGGGAGCAATGAGGATAGGTGATGTCTACTACAACATGTGGGTTAGCTCCCAGGCTGGCCAGGGATCAAACTCCTGCTATAGTGGCTGTAGATAGCTTGATAGCACTCTCTTTATGCCTTGCATTACCAGGGAGGCCTCAAGAATCAATTCTGACTAAAGAAACATTTAATGAAGAAACAAGTTGCCACATTTCAGCAGTGCAGCTTTGTGATGTTCACTTACTAACATGACAGCCGGTCTTTTGTTGGTGCAACTTGCAGGTGTCAGTGAGGGAAGTACAAACCTTGTTCTTAAAAGAACTGCAGGTGTACATTTTGACTCAAGGACTTGTCACTGTGTCACTGGCTTGGAAGTTTCCCAGAGGCAAAAAAAAAGCTTATCTGAGGGACTTCATCAAAAAGTTTAAAGACAATTATTCCAGATAGAGGCTCCTGACACAAGAATTAATAAACAGAGAAGTGGCATACTGATCAAAAATCAAAAATTCTGGCAAGGCTTAGGAAGTAGAAGGAATATCAAGAAGGCCATGTATATTCCCAGAGCTAAACATGTTCTCTGAAAAGACCTCAAGAATACCTTGGACCTCCCTTCAGGCTACATCCCAGACATTATAAAAATATCTAAAACAGAAATACAAGCAGTATGGCTAATAGTGAATGAATTCCCCTAAAGATCCAATCCTCAAAATCAAGGAAAGGGACTTGTTTGGCTGTAAGCATTTAAGGAAATGTTTAAGCTCAGGAAAATAATGAGCTGACTACTAGGCTAAAGGAACAGGAACACCCACTGACAACATTGGACAAAAAAATACTCCCAACAAAAAACAGTTTATAGTGGTCTTTTATCATATAAACAACAATCACCCACAGGCAATGGACACTGAAGACAAAGGGAAAATTGTGAGCTCCAGAATTACCACAATGTATTTTGAATAAAAAAGTAGGAAACACACAGTGAAACAAGAAAATACGGAAATATACTCTAGAAGTATAACAAAAAAGAAAGAAAAAGTCCATAAAAAAGCAAATACTGATAATACACAATATGCTGGATAAAATTTAAGGATACTGGATTTATACAACAAATTAAGTTAAATGATGTATGCTCAAATGACTAAAATAACTTGGACACAAGTTCTACAATAAAAAAAGAGTAGGGACTTCCCAGTGGCGCTCGGTTGAGCGCTGGGTTGCGAAGCTGCCCGCAGCCTCTGCAGCACCGGTTCTATCCCCAGTCACCAGGCGAGGGTCCCACATGGAGCACAGACCTCTCCTGCCGCTCGCTGCTCCCCTCAGCAGTGTACTTCGGTCCTTCTGCCTGTTCTGCTCCCTGCTCTGGCTGTGGTGAATTTTCTCACCCTCCCGCGCTTCTGACTGTACCCAGTTCTTGTATAAACAAAAAATAATTAATAAATAAATATTTAAAAAAAAATAGGTCTGCGTGTCTGTTCTTGTTCCAGTACCATGCAGTTTTGATCATTATGGTTTTGTACTATAGTTTGAAGTCTGGGAGTGTGATGCCTCCATTCCCTTTTTTTTTTTTTTCAGGAGAGCTTTGGCTATTTGGGTTTTTGGCGGCTCCATATGAATTTCATCAATAACTGTTCTATTTCTTTGAAGAATGACATTGAAATTTTGATTGGAATAGCATTGAATCTGTATATTGCTTTTGGTAGGATGGCCAATTTAATAATGTTTATTCTTCCAATCCATGAGCAGGGGGTGTCTTTCCATTTCTTTGTGTCTTCTTCTATTTCTTTTAACAGTGTTTTATAGTTTTCTTTGTATAGGTCTTTTACCTCTTTTGTTAGATTTAATCCCAAGTATTTGTCACAACACTAATGATAAAGGACTGATCACAAAAATCTGCAAAGAGCTGATGAGACTCAACAAAAACAAAGAAAATAATCCAGTCAAAAAATGGGCAGAAGAGCTAAAAAGAAAATTCTCTGAAGAGGAAATGCAAATGGCCAACAGGCATATGAAAAAATGTTCTACATCACTTGTAATCAGGGAAATGCAAATCAAAACTACAATGAGATACCATCTTACACCAGTGAGAATGGCACATATTAAAAAAACTAGCAACAACAACTGTTGGCGAGGGTGTGGAGAAAAAGGAACTCTCCTGCACTGCTGGTGGGAGTGCAAACTGGTCCAACCACTATAGAAAGCTGTGTGGAGATTTCTGGACCTACTAAACATAGAGCTTCCATATGATCCAGCAATTCCACTCCTAGGTATTTACCCAAATGACACAGAAACATCAATTCCAAAGAACACCTGCACCCCTATGTTTATAGCAGCACTATTTACAATAGCTAATCTTTGGAAACCACCCAAATGCCCAAAAAATAGATGACTGGATCAAGAAGATGTGGTCCATATACACCATGGAATATTACTCAGCATTCAAAAAAGATAAACACATGCCATTTGCAGCAACATGGATGGCGCTGGAAGGGATCATGCTCAGCGAAATAAGCCAGAAAGAAAAAGAAAAATACCGGGTTGTCTCACTCATAACAGAAATCCAGAAAACTTAAATAAGGGACCAGGAAAAAGAATAAAAATAAGAAAGAAAATATCAAAATCAATGAACAACTATGAAACAGAGACACTCTATGGGGCTGGGTTGCGGGGAGGGGAGGGATTGGAGTCAAAATAAGGGGGTTGTAATTGTATGTGGAATATAAAAATAAATAAAAAATAAAAGTAAATCATAAAAAGAAACAGAAAAACTAAAACTGAAAAATATAATAAAAATTCTTCACCAAAAGCAAACCACTTGAAGTAAGACTAAGCAAAGATGCTGAATTAAGATCAGCTAGTCCATGGAGCAGAAAGGAAAATGAATTTGAGGGGAAAAGAATATAAGTTACAGCAACCAAAACAGTATGGTTTCGTAATAATAGACACACAAAACAATGTAGTAAAACTGAATACTTAGGAAAAGAAACTCACACTATGGATCCATCTCTTTTTTGACAATGGTGCATGATCATTCACATGGAGAGAAATTTATAACCACGTACAAAGTTGAAACTTTCCTTATGTTGTATACAGAAACTACCTCAAAATGGACTATAGGGTAAGTATAAGACAGAATACCCAATGCGGATATCCAACGTTACCTCAGTTAAAAACACATAATTTATGAACCCCTTTAAAACATAAAGCAAAATCTGCCTAGCACTGAATTTGGAAATAGTTTCTTACACATGACACCAAGCATAGAGGCAACAAAAGGAAAAACATTCAACAAAACTAAAACTTAGTGCATGGACAGATTTTATATTTAAATAATATGATTTTTACATATACATATTTAAGAATTCATAAATTTCAATAATAAGACAAATATTTTGTACAGCAAAGATGATGATACAAGCACTATGGAAAACAATTATATGCGCCAGTAACATATAATCTTTGAGTCATTCAGCACTTCTACGTCTCAGTATAAGATCAGAATAATTTAAATCAAGTGTTCAAATAGAACTGTAATAAACACTCATGCCAGCAATAGTCACAACAGTCAAAACACCAAATGCTTATCAGCAACCAACTATTTATCAATGTGCAAATAAGAAAAAGTAGATCAAACAATGGATAGTATATACTTATAAAAGGGAATGAAGTGCTGAAATTTTTCATAACATGAATGAACCTGAAAACATTATGCAAAGTGAAAAGCGGCAGAAAGTCATATATTCAATGAGTCCATTTACATGAAATGTCCAGTTTAGATAAAGCATAGTCAGAAAGTAAATTATTAGTCATGAATGGCTTATGTCAACAATGGAATGGTGATTGCTTTCAGGGTTTCTTATTAGAGAAATGAAAATATGTGCTTGACCCAGATAGTGATAACAACTGCAACCTTGTGTTGGTCAACTGTAAGTTTAAGATGGTATAACTTTTGTGTGCATTTCACTATAATAAAAAATGAGGTAAGATGCTTCAAAGACTTTATATTTAAGATAAAATATGCAACCTAAATAAAATGGAATATACACATGTTATTCTAAGAGAATAATTTTCTGACAGAACTAAAGAATAGCACTGTGAAACTATTTTACCTCTGTGAACAAAGCGGAGAAAAAAGAATGAAAGCACCAATTTAGTAAGTGTTTAATATTATTCAGAAGCTGTTCCCAGTGATTTCTATAAATCATACATCAAACTGTCTTGAGTGTAATAAAAGTATCCACCCCATTGGAACTGAGGGTTAGTGCTTTATATTGTACACTAAGGAAAACAAAATAAAAAAATGTGACTAAGACAGCAAGTATGTTAAAGCATTTGATTGGGCGGGGGGGAGGGTGAAGACAATGAACAAAACTAACCAAAATAAAATTCAGTGGCTCATGGTTTATAGATTTTAAATAATGCAAAGAGTGATTATGGAATAATAACAAAGAAAAGTTAAGTACAATAGCAATTGCATTATTTTAAAAGTAAATAAAATGAACTATAATAGACCTCAATAGTATCTCAGATTTAATTGTAATGACTTGGCAAACATTTGTTTGAGTCATGAAATACTTAGAAGAAAAGTAAATAGTTTATAGGGATTTGAAATGATTTAATTACCTTTAGGAAATGATTACAACATCCTGAGTAGTCTTGAAACCCACTTAAGTTAATATGCTTCTTTCCCTGTTTTAGTATAGAAGCAGCTGCTAAATTGGATTCAAATGATTCATGCCATGAGACTCATACACAGATACGCAAAATGTGATGAGCATATCTGTAGGCAAATAACTCACCAAACATAAATACAGAGGAAAGCTGAAGTAATAAATTGTAAGGGTGCAATCCATAATGGATTCCACACTGCAAGATTATAAAACACTCAGGAGGTCCAAAACAAATAGCATTGTTACAACTGCATACTGACTATCTGTATCCAAACCAACACAAACCTGATAGAGTTCTTCCAAGCTGTATTCAGTAGAGATATTGTTCTGGACAGCTTGTACAGCTTCTTTTAACTTCTGCCATGTTTCTTCAGTATAGTTTTCCAGCATGATGTGTTTATCTAACAAATAAAAACAGTACAAAGCAAATCCTCTTGCAGTTGTCAGCAGACTAAAAAATGTAACATCAGCCAACTTCTATAAATAGATTTTAAGCAAGATGTCAAAATCATTCAATAGGGAATAAATAACTACTTCATAAATAATGCTAGGACTAGATATTCACATTTAAAAAGACTGAAGATGAACCACTATTTCATACCACATTCCAAAAGCACCTGGAAATGGTTCAAAGCCCTACACGTTAGAGGAAAATTTATGAAACTCTTAGTAGTACACTGCTTAACCCCATGGATCTGAAAAAAGATTCACCGGTATTACACAAAGTATACCATACATATAAAGCAAAGTACAACTTATTGAACTTCATTCAGTTAAAACTAAAAATTTTTGTGCAGCAAAAGCCATGATCAAGGAGGAAATGAAAAAAGGCCCTTGGAATAGAAAATATTTGCCAACCACGTAATTGGTAAGCATCTAGTGTCCACAGTAAAGAATTCTTTCAAAAATCAATCATAGGGTCCTCCCTGATAGCACAAGGGGTTAAAGACACAACAATATGGGGGCCTCTCCTGGTGGTGCAGCGGTTGAGCTGGGCAGCGAAGCTGCTCTCAGCCTCTGCAGTGCCAGTTCACTGCATTGCCAGTTTGATCCCTGGCCGCCAAGGAGGTTCCCCACATGGCATGCAGACCTCTCCTGCCGCCCACTGTTCCCCTTAGCAGTGTACTTTGCTCTTCTTTCCATTCTGACTCTGGTGAATTCTTTCACCCTCCTGTGCTTCTGACTGTACCCCGTGCTTGTATAAATAAATATATAAATCTTAAAAAAAAAACAACAATATGAAGATAACTGCAGCCATGCAGCATGAGTTTGATCCCAAACCAAACTCTCTCTCTCAAAATATCAAAGTACCAAACCAAACATATGCTTCTTTGGTTGAGGAAAAAAAAAAACTGGTATTATGAAACTCCTTAGAGTTAAATGGGTTAGGCTGGAAGAATAACAAGTTTCAAATTTGTATTTCTTCCTTGTTTTCATGCCATTTCACTTTCTCATCTCTAGAAGCATACTGTTATCTATGGTAGCACACTCCTCCTGTTATGTAGAATGTACCTATTATATATCTTACCTCACAACAGTATTATTTCAAAACCAGAAAAACATTACTAGTTATTTATATCATTAAAAGGGCAATGTGCAATGTTATTTAATATTATTGATGAGTTTATACAAATAAATCAGCAAAAACGAGCAAGACCATCTGTTTCATAATCTGAATAAAATCTGAAAAACAGTGGCAAGTTCCCATTATATTAATCATAAATAAAGATGAACTGGTGAAATTTAAATAAACCTGTGGACATTTAACATCCTTAAGCCATAATCATAAAAAAATAGATCAAATAACCACCATATTGACCTTGAAATAAACAATAAACTACCAAAACCCCTATAAGATATCCATTTCCTGAAATTTATCCTGTAAACTTTCCAAAATATATCAGAAAATTCAAGTTCTATCATTTGCAATTTGATTGCTAAGATTTAATAAGAAAAAAAAAGATTGCTTTTATTTTTACATATTGACCATCTAAAGTTAAGTTTTAGCACCATAAATTCAGCATCTGCTAGGACCTGAAAAAAGAAAAAAAGGAAAAAAACAGAAACAAAACTCCATGGATAAAATATTCAGAACATGCATTTTGAGAAAGTTTATGGAAAGACCAGAAATTCAGAACTATAAAAGAAGTGGGATAGAAGTTCAGAACTATAATGCAAGTGAGACATAACTGAAAATGAAAGATCTAAACAAATATTACTAATTAAGGTAGGAAATGTTCATTTTCTCCTGACAAAGACCTCCTGACCTATAATTAAGGTTGGGATACACATTTTTTAAAACTGTCTACTAAGAGCAAGAAACTTGACATGATTTTAAGGATGCAAGCTCTTTTCTTAAATGCCAAAATACTCAGGTAAAGGTTTTTCCACAAATGCTATATGAAAAAAAATGATAAAAGTCATAGTTTCTAATTTTTTGAATATATCACTGCCTTGGAAAACTTTATTTTTTTAGTTTATATAATAAATTTTATTTTTCTATTCTCCATACAATTCAACCTCCTTATTTTGACCTCAATCCTTCCTTTCCCTTAGAAAAAATTTAAATGCATTTACTGTTAGTAACGGCTCTTTATCTTGTTTCAATGTGTTCCTCCATGTGCATGATTTTCCATTATTCATTCTTTAATTTATCAAAAATTTTAACTGTCTTTTGACTACCAAGAACAGACCATTTTTCAGTAGTAGTACAGATCTGCTCACTGTAAAGATAATAACATGAACTGAGTGCCAACAAGAATGGTTTTAAAATTCATTTTTTAAGAGGAAAACAAAGATCTAACCACAAGGTAATTTTCCAAAAGTCACAAGTTAGTCCAAAGAGGTATCATGGCTTGAATCCTGCCTGATCTTCAGATTACCAAATCAATGACATTTCAACTCTTTGACAAATTATGTACAACACTGAAAACTAATCAGCTCTGCACCTCTGATCTTAAAATTAAAAAGTATAAAATATGAGCTGGGAAACCATTTGTGACTTGAAGTCTATGCATGTCTGCACCTGAATGGAAGAACAACTTGCAACCTACAAGAGCCCACTTTCTGTAACATAACCCTTTTTTGGCAAACCACCAAGCCGGAGGACACCTTACCCAAATCTGGCTTTATAACTAATTGTATACAGATGATAATTTGAATTAGACAGTAATCACTGAAAGCATCTGTCAAATCATTTCTATTTCTTTAATATTCCTCTTTTTTTCTCTTTAAAAATCTCATGTCTGCTAGATATTTTGGAATTCAATTCAAGGGCATCTTATATCTAGGTCTCCAGAACTGGAGCTATAAGACTCCCCACCTTCAATCCAACCCTGGCAAACAAGTTTTCTTCTTTAGTCACTCCCAATTTATTATTTTCAAAAGATTTATTTATTTATGCATACAAGAACTGGGGTGTCAGCCAGAGGTGTGGTGGGGCAGGGGGAGGTGAGAGGATTCACCAGAGAGTGGGGAGCAAAACAAGCAGATGTACTGAAATACACTGCTTGGGGGAATAGCAGACCAGTTAGGAGAGGTCTGTTGTGCCATGTGGGTTACCTTCTTGGCCACTTGGCCGGGGATCGAACTCATGCTGTAGTGGATGATGATAGCTTCAGAGTGCTGTTTTTAATCCCTGCACCAAAAGGGTACTCCCAATTCATTAACAAAAGCATTAACAAGGATAATTCAAAAATGAAATCTTCAAAAGGCAATCATTATATTACCTTTGAAGTTTTTGATTACCAACTTCTTAACAGAGCCAACGCCAGGTCTAACACAGGTAAAATTGGACAGCATTGTGGGGGCTTTAGTTAAGCTATCTGTCTGGCTGCTTGCAGTCAAAGAGGAATTTATCAAGTTTCTGTTCTTAAACTCTTCTTGTTCCTGAGAGGCAGCGATGGATGAATAAGATGGTGAGTTGTCTTCAGACATTTTCACATTAAGTTCTACAAAATCAAAGAAAATCCAGTGTTACTTTTGTTTACTAGAAAATTCAGTACACAAGGCCTGCAAGAAATGAGCAAGTAAAGTTAGCAGTGTTTTTACCTCACCCCTACTGTTATTTTTAAAACTTTTAACAGTTGAAGAAACACCATAAGCAAGCAGATCAAATCTTCAGAAAATAGACAAAACAACAGTGGTGGATAGATAGGAGGGTGAAATATCTTCAAACCATGAAAATATGAAAGATAAATAAGCATCAAAACAGAGGAAAATAAGTACAGAGAAAAAGGAACAAGAGATGAAACAAGAAGTGAATTTCAGCGACAATGCTGTAGAACACACCAAGCTGCTCCTGAAAAGGTTTTTATCTTGAGTAATATGATGAAGGCAAGTGAGGGAAAGAATGAGATATAGATCCTTAGATAGCACACAACAGAGAAGTAGGAGGCATGGAAGTCAGAGAAAAGTAAAAATGAAAACAAAAAGCCAGAGAGAGGAAATGGAAAACCTGAGAGAAAACACATGTTGCACATATATAAGTACAGTTCAAAACCTGCTATAACCCTGCACAGCTAAGGTTAAGAAGTAGACACAACTTAAAACAGAGGTAGCTAAGACAGAGATGACAAACAGGCAAGAAGAGAAAAAAGAAACAAACAGCAGACAGAATATAATATAAAATGTCCTTACCGTGCACCATTATTATTATTTACCCTTCTAGGGGTTTGGGATGTATAACTAACTAAAGGGGGAAAGCTCTGTATTTCCATGGGATATGCATTATGAAAGATCCAGAAAAGCTGGCAAGTATTAGATTCAAAAGAGAGATGAAAGAAGAGAAATAAATCAATGTGGGGGTAAAAAGCACAAGTAACCTGAAGCCTAAAAAAACAAAATGCAGAGGCAATAAAAGGGAGCCATAAGAAAATGAACAGAAATACCAGAAAGGAATAATGTAAGGTAAAATAATGTGAGTCAGCAGAGAGTGAAAAGCAATCATGAGAAAAGAATATATATGCAGAAATTCAGATGCAAGGAGAGGGAGAGAGAAAATATTAGACCCAACTGCAGGGGAAACATGTCAGGAAGGCAGCGGGAGAAACAAGAGATGAAATTCCCGAGAGCTAAAGAAGTCAGGACTCGAGGAAAAACATTCAGTGTCTAGGCAGCAAAGGGAGAAAGAAAAAGAAAATGGAGTAATGGATAGGGAGAAAAAATAAATACGCCAAGTTTAGAGAGAGGGAGAAGCAGGCAAAATAAGCGCTATTCCTGAAGAATGCTTTCTTAAATACGTAGAGTGTGAGTGAAAAAAGTGGTGAGTTGCGGCGGACAACCTTATAAAGAGTTATTTTTTGTTAACGAGATTCCTTCACAAAATTTATTTGAAGGGGAAAAAAAAAAAAGAAAATTGAACAGTAATACCTAGAAGCGGGGATGGGGGAAAAAGAGATGGAGAGGAACAGGCTAGAAACAAAAACTGGAACAGATATGGATAAAAACAAAAGTGGAGTAGGCAAGTGTCAGAGACACAAAATTAGGTTAGAATGACACAAACAACAAACACCCATTGGAGGATGATAAATATGAGGTAAATTGCAACAGACATAGCGAACACAGAGGGGAAAATTTATGGGAGACAACAGTTAAAGTGGATCCGAATTCCAGGATCAAGGAAGATACACGACGGTAAAATAAAGTCTATGACAGAGTCATACCAGTTATAAAGAAACAGGAAACAAAGATGGAAAAGCACATCAGCACAGGAAAGTAATAAAGAAAACCATGTAAACAAAAACGGCTGCAAAATACCGTGTTATGTGAAAACGAAAAGCGAAGAGACAAAAACATGAAAACTCAATGTCCATAGAAATGGTTAAGCACCCAAATAACTAAAAGTATGATAACTCTAGAAAGCAGCGAGAAGAAAGGCCACGCTCTTACCCTTACAGTTAAGCACAGCTTACCACTTCATGATGTCCGGACTGCCGTCTGTAGGTGACAAACAACTCCCGGGAGAGAGTACCTCAGGTAGGACTGTTGACTACTTAATGGCCCCCGAGATCTCGCGATACGAGACCTCACCCTCTCTCCCCCGGAAATGACTGAGTTCAAATTCCTATTATGACCCACCCTTGCACAATCACAAAGGATGGTCCGACAAGAAAGGGGGAGAAGGAACTAGATTGTGTCATGACAAATGATAGCTGTATGTGTACAAAAGAAAACTTTGTGAAAAATCACATTGTTGCACTGGATTGATGATACTGCAGGTGTATGCAGTGAGTGTTTTGAATGACCTAAATGTTTTGAATGTGGTGTACTGTTTATCAAAACATGGCAGGAAAGTGGTGGGGGTGAACTGAACCTCTTCACTGAATAATTTTGTAACAGTCCTATCAAAACTGGGCTAGCAAAAACTCAGCACCGACCAGTTTAATATATAATGTTTATCACTCTTACAAAAGAAACAACTTTACTATTTTCTTTCTGTTAACTTCTTTAACCTCACCTCTAAACAGTATGCATACCACAATAAATACAGTGCTTGAACTGAACATTATTTCTAAGTGTTGGATAGATGACTACATGAAACAAATTTTTCTTTTTAATTCCATTTTACTATAAAACATAGTTAATGCCTTGTTCTGCATGCATAACTTTTAATATTCGGCAACTACTGCTATTCTCACCATCTTATATTGATACTCTCCATTTCCAAATCCTTTCAATTAAAGCAAACTAGTGTTTTCAACCGAAGAACGGAACATTGGGCCTCCCTGGTGGTGCAGGGATTAAGATGCAGTCTATGAAGTTATCTGCAGGCACTGCAGCACTAGTTCCATCCGTGGCCAGGGAACTATCCACCTGCGGGAGCAGACCTCTCCTGTCTCCCTGCTCCTCTCCTCAGCAGTGTATTTCTTCAGTCTGCCTATTCTGCTCCCCGCTCTGTCTCTGGTGAATCCTCTCACCCCCCACACCTCTGACCTGTCCCCCAATGTTGTATGCATAAATAAATAAATATCTTAAAAACCAGTAAGTGAACATTTTCACAGAAATCATAATCAAAATATTTTTTCACATTACAGGGCAAACATAATTTTTCTCCTTTTTCACTTCAACAACTCTGAACTTCTTTAATCCTTTGTACTTCAGACGCTAAACCACATAATAGACTTAAGGATACAATCTCAAGGACAGCATATGATGTACTTGTCTATTCTGCAACACATCTATATAAGTAATGTCAATTATCCCATCATTTTATCATGTACAAAAACAAAAATTATCCCCATCACACAGATAAAAATTTCAAATCAGCAAAAGATTAACTACCTTACTGCTGGTTATAGCCTAATGGAAACCACACCAGTTTGTTTGTTTGTTTGTTTGTTTGTTTGTTTGTTTGTTTGTTTGTTTTGAGGTACAGACCCTTTGAACTCTACTACTGAATGATTATGGCAGCAAAGACATCATTGATAGGGCACAGGAATCAAGATGACCCAGACTGGCACTATGAAATATTTGCTAAATTGAGTAAATCATGAATATCCAGTCATCGGATATTTTTTAAAGATTTATTTATTTATGCATAAAGGAACTGGGGTGCAGGCCACAGGTGCAGGGGAAGTGACAGGTCCACCAGAGACAGACTGGGGAACAGGACAGGGAGACTGACTGAAATACACTGCTGAGGGGAGCAGCAAGTGAGATAGGAGAAGTCTGCTGCTCCATGTGGGTAGCTCCCTGGCCTGCTGGGTATCGAACTCGTGCTTCAGTGGCTGCAGATATCTTGATAGTGCTGTGCTTTACCCCTTGTGCCACCAGGGAGGCCCCATCAGGGGCATTAATTGAAAAGTGAACCACAAATAATACAGAGGGTAGACAGAAAGCCTTTGGCTTTTAAGAGTCTAAGAGGTTATTATTAATCCACTACATTAACAGAACCAATACGACTCCTATATGTCTTGCTTCAAGAAAATTTTCTGGATGAGAATACCTAAGCAAGAAAATTTTGATAGGTTGACATAAAGGGTTTCATCCAATGACATTGTGTCAGGGGCTCAGTGGTAGGCATGTTTGTGATTTTGGTCAATTATACATAGCTTCTGCAGCCAACATGATCTCACTTTGAGTGAGTCATATACTGGCCTACTCTAAGAACTGCGTTTCTCCTCTGATATCCAAGTCAAGTGCAAAGTTACAGTGAGTAAGTACAGTGTAAATCCTCTCTACCCTTGGAATTTAAACAAATTCAAAGCTTTATTCATCTTCTTGTTAACTAATTTGTATAATTAGTAAAATGAAAAAGATCTCCAGAAAATCCCCCTAACTTTATACCTCAAAGAAGTAGAAAAAAATAGGGCCTCCCCGGTGGTGCAGCAGGTTGAACACAGTGCTGTGACGCTGTCTGCAGCCTCTGCAGCATAGGTTTGATACCAATCAGCCAGGAAGCAACCCACATGGTGCCGTAGACCTCTCCTGTCTTGTCTGCTGCTCCCTCAACTGTATATTTGGCCAGTCTGCCTGTTCTGCTTTCCACTCTGTCTCCGGTGAATTCTCTCACCTCCTGTGCCTCTGGCCTGTACCCCCATTCCTGTATTTATAAATAAAAAATCTTAAAAAAAGTAGAAAAAATACATAAAAAGCCCGACATTAACAAAAAGAAAGAAATCACAATTAATTTCCAAGATATATGTCAAGACTGCTCCCCCCATGTTTCTTTCTGGGAAGTATAGTTGGAGATAAAGATCTAATTTCATTTCTTTACATGTGATTGTCAGTTTTCCGAACACCACTAATTGACTATCATTTCATCCAATAGTATTGTAGGTGCCTATGTTGAAGATTAGTCACTACGCACACGTGAAGTTACTTTTTTGAGGTCCCTACTTTGTTTAACTGATCAATGTGTCAATTAAACTTTTACGCTAGTGTAATACTTTTTAATTACTATAAACCTCTAATATATCTTGGCATCAAGAAAGGTAATGCCTTCTGTTTGTTTTTGTTGTTATTGCTCAAAATCGTTTTTACAATTGTTTTTACTATTGGGCTCAATGGATTTTTAAAGAAATCACATAGGGAATGCCTTTGTGTATTTAATGATGAATTCTATTTCTTAGAAATGTCTCTTCTCTAAGAAAACTACTGAGCTGGTAGCTACCAAGACCTAAGTTATTGAGTAGAATAACAAAGAGCCATTATGAAGAAGCTACTGTTTGTTCAAAGGCATATACCTTAATATACAAATATTTGTGGGTTTTCTATTTTCCTTAGGCTAATTATTTCTAATTTAATTACATTGGTATAAGAATAAACATTTCATGAAGTTTTTAACCTTTTAAAATTTGGTAAGATTTACTTTGTGCCTTCATATGTGGTCCCTCATGCAGAATATACTTAAGAAGAATGTCTATTATGTTGTTGGGTACAGTGCTTTGTATATCTGGCAATTATGAAGTAAGAAAATTTAAACAAGAATCACAATTAAGTAATTATTAATCACTAAAAAGACTAGTATGAAAGAAAAAAGAAAGAGGACATGGCTGACCCCAGCAATTAGGACAGATGGGACAGAGCCCATGAACTCTTGGCAATTGAAAGAGAAATATCAGTTCTGGGAACAGAATTGGCAAAGACAGTCTTTGCTCCCAGATGTCTGCAATCTTGGAGCATTGAAACTTATCAATCCATGAAAAAGAGTCCTGTAGCTAGGATGTGGACTTAATTTCCTTTGGATATCAAAGACTGGGGTAGACTTCAACAGAGAAGATGAATCACAGAAAACTCATGCTAAATTTAACAGTGGTGAGTCAAGACAGGAAACCATGCATTGTTTTTCTTGGACAGAGGACACAAGGGCCTGGGAAAGGAGGAGGTGAGTTAGAGTATAGGGAACGTACTATTGAGTAGGGAAAATCTTGCATAGGAACAAGGGGCGGTCTACAAAGCCTGGGTCCCTACCAAATATGAGAGAGAACAGATACCCCAGTTTGTAATCCCCTTTGAAGCACTCTGAATTTACTCATCTATTGAAATGCACATGAAACACATGGACTGCTGAGTTTCTCATACCATCCACCAAAGAAGAGGAATTTCAAGATGCCGCAAAGACCAAACTATCAACTCTCCTTTTATTTATTCCAACTTGTTGATACAACCGGCCTCAGCTCAACTTGTTGATATAACAACTTAAAAAAAATGTAAGAGTACCTGCAAAAAACCAATACATTTAAAATAATATCAACACTTCCCAAATATGGAAAAGAAGATACAAAAAGAGGAAGCTAAAAGAACGTAGTAGTACCTAAATTAAAAGGGACAAACACCAAGACATACAGTGTTGAAATCTCCAAGTGTTCAAGAAAAAGAATACAGAAGAAGATAAGAAGTAAAAGCAAAAAATCCACAAAACAATGTTGGTAAATGTACATTAGGCTTCTCAGAACACTACAGTCAAGGAGAGAATGAACACATGTGATAAAAGAGTTAAAGATATAAACTTTCAATTAACATCCTTTTGATTAATATCCTGTGACACTCTCCTTTAGATTAGAATGGCAAATAAGAATGGAAGGAGCTTGAAAAAATGGAAGCCCCATCCTAGAAAAAATGTAAAGAAATCTGGAATCTAAGCCAAATTAAAAAAACACAAAGAACAGAGAAAAGGAAACAGATACAACCACAAAAATCAAGAGAAAATGTCAGCTACAGACTGTCAAATATCAACAAGCATTCCAAATGTTAATAGGCTAAACCCAACACAGAACATCTGGTCAGATTTTTAAACAGAATCCAGCCTTCTGCCATGTCCAGGAAATACACTTGTACCCCAAGGACAGGCATAAGCTAAGGTAAAGGATTGAAACAATTCCACACGTAAATGGGACCCAAAGAAAAGCAGGGACAGCCAAACTAATATCATATATAACTTCCATTTTAAAATGGAAATGACAGGGATACACATAACATAATACAACAGGAGCACATAATAATCATTATCATATACTCAAGAAATGAAAGAGCACCAAAATACACAAGGCAAGTACTATCAACTAAGAAAAAAAAAATTTGGTA